CGGCCATCCGCACAACAGGGATTTGGTGCGTATCTTGCAGCATAGTAAGGCTTCTAAAGAAGCTCTGGAGGTAGCAAAGAACTTCACATGTACCGTGTGTAGTAACCATAAGCTTCCGCATGCATCCCTACCTGCTAAGACTAGTAGAATCATGGAGTTTAACGCGCGAGTTGGGATGGACGTCAAGTACCTCCCCGGCTGGAAACCCAATCAGAGAGTTCCGTGCATCAGCATTGTTGACTATGCATCGTCATTGCACATAATGGCACCCATTTTCCAGAAAGAAAACGCTGAGTTGTTGAAGGGTGTTCTGCGGGACTCCTGGATTGCATGGGCCGGGCCCCCAAAGGTTTTGGAATTGGACCCAAGCAGACCAAACCTGAGTGACGCTTTGGGAGAATACTGTGAGGGACTTGGTATAGATCTCCTATACACAGCTGCAGACTCACATTGGCAGCTGGGGAAAGTCGAGAGACATGGAGGTTGGTTCGAAAAGATATTTTCTCGGGTATGTGAAGAGCATCCACCCAAGAATGCCGAAGAGTTTGTTGACAACGTTCTTCAGACCCAAATAGCCAAAAACACCCTGATTACAGAAGCAGGAGCAAGCCCTTTTCAGATTGTTTTTGGACGCAATCCCCGCATCCCTCAAGATTTGTTGCAAGATGATCCACACTTACCCGCAGTTGACGCCACCGAAAGCGACTCGCCGTTCGATCGGGCACATCTCGTGCGGCAAGCGGCGCGACAAGCGGTGCTGGAATGCCAAGACCACAAGGCCTTGAAGGCGGCCATCCGAGCTCGCCCAAGACTCCGCCAGGACTTCTGCTCAGGTGACTGGGTTTACTACTGGAGATCACAAAAGTGGTCAGACGGGCAGTTGCTAAGGGGAGGTCGTTGGCATGGGGCTGGCATGATTTTGGGTAAGTTGGGGGTGAACTATATTGTTGCGCACAGACGAAGTTTGTTTCGCTGTTCACCAGAACATCTACGGCATGCAACCTCAGAAGAGAAAACAGTTGCAGATTTTGATGACAACGAATTGCTGGGAATCAAGAACTTGTTAGAAAAGGGACAATTTCCAAAAGGACAGTTTGTTGATTTGGTCAATACCACACTTCCGCCATCTCCAGAAATTTCTGACCGGGCAGAAGGCTGGCATTCCGCGGCACGATCCGCGGCCGATTTGTGGAGTGAAGCTGTCGTGAATGAGACCAAGACTCAAAAGGAAGACTACAATGCAGATGAGACAACACCAGAACATGGGCCGTATTCTCGATTGGGGGGGAACGTCTTCCTGGACACCGTTAGGTCGTACAGAGGATTATGGTCCCATCAGACGGGTTCGACACACAGTCAAGTCACCCCCGGAATATCTCTTTCGTCCAATGGAGATGCAACAGGAAGATCTGTCAGAGTTGCTGCAAGAGGTTATTCCTTCGTTGCTAGAGACACCAGAGACCGAGAGCTTCAGTCCCAGAGGCACTAGTAGCAAGAGAGAGGCCAGTGCCGACATTGATGACGGACCGCGCACTCGCAGTCGAACTGAACGATATGAGGACGAGGCATTGTTGTGTTCATTTGTTTCTCCAGGAGAGGAGGTTCCAGTGCGAAGTGGCCAGAGTCATGTCGAAGCATTGATAGCAGGATTCTTGCAGAAGCGAGCAGCAAAAGAGATTCCGTCCACTGGCAACCCATCCGACATCCAAGAGAAGGTTGATGGATCCAAGATTACAGAATGGGAGACATTGTCAGGGAAACAAGCTGTTCGTGTGTGGACTGGACAGAAAGCCAAAGAGATCAAAGAGCGTTTTGGACATCGGTTCATTGGCAGTCGTTTTGTTGTGATCAACAAGAAGGATGAGGATGGGGAGCGAGTCAAGAGTCGCTGGTGCCTACAAGGGCACTTGGATCCTGACTTCCAGGAGAAGATCCAGTCAGGGGCTTGCCACAGTCCCACACTTCACCCTTTGTCAAGATCATTGATTTTACAAATTCTAGTCAGCAAGCAATGGACGATGCAGCTAGGGGACATCAAGGGGGCTTTTCTGGAAGCAGGACCTTTGAACCCCAAATTTAGTCCTTTGTATGCGCATCAACCTCCAGGAGGGATCCCAGGACTCAGTCCGGATGATGTGATCGAGGTCACAGGCAACGTCTACGGGTCCAACGATGCCCCTTTCAACTGGTGGTTTAAGTTCGACGAGACTGCAAGAAAGATTGGTTGGGTTCGTTCTCAGTTTGACAACTGTTTATACTACCTTCCGGATCCGTTGAGTCAGGGAGCCATGTGTGGTGTGATGGGAGCCCATGTAGACGACACCATCACGGGGGGGACACGGGGCAACCTACGATTCAGCAATTCAAGCGTTGAAGACTCATTTCCCGTACAGAAAATGGAGGATTGGCAATGGTGAATTTTGTGGGGTGCAATATAGCCAAGACATGCGAAGTTTTGAGATCACGTACCATCAAAAAGAATATGCCGAACATCTTCGGGCCATTTCTCTCTCTAAAGAACGGTTGAAGGACAAAGAGTCTCTGGCAACTGACCGGGAGATCTCAGCCTTGAGGGCAATCAACGGAGCATGCAATTGGCTTAGTTCGCAGTCAAGACCAGATCTGTGCGTTCAGACCTCCTTTTCACAACAGAGCTTTCCTCAACCTAGAGTTCGGGATTTGTTGTTTGCAAACCAACTGGTGCATCGGGCTAAACAGTTTAGTCACACTGATGTTACAGTGAAGAGCATTCCATGGGAAGATTTGGCTATCTGTTTTCATTCAGATGCAGGTTTTGGTAATGCAAAGCAACACAAGACACAGGCAGGGTTCATTGCAGCTTTTGTGAGCAAAAGACTAGTACAGAATGAGGCAGCAAGCTGGTCTCCGTTTGCTTGGCGGTCATACAAATTGCCGAGAGTGGTGGCCTCGACACTAGCGGGGGAGGCACAGGCTTTCACGACAGCTAGTGCTACGGCTGAGTGGGTGAGCTTGCTCATAGCAGAAGCAAAGCATGGCAGATTTGATCTTCGGACAACAGAGCAAGTGCAAACACAGCCACGAGTGTCAAATTTGAAATGCCGTGATGAGCTGGACCTAGTTCCTGTCGTGGGTGTCACAGATTGCAAGAGTTTATATGACCATATGATATCCATGTCATCAGTTAGTAAGTGCGAAGATAAAAGGATAGCAATAGACCTTGCAATACTCAAACAGTGCATGTCTCGAACAGGTCTCGTGGTTAGGTGGTGCCCAACACAACTCATGCTCGCAGACGCTCTAACAAAGGACCAGCAGGATCCGGCAGATCTCTTGCGGGCGGCACTGTCCGTGGGGGAATACCAGTTGAATCCTGAAGCCATGATCCTGGAGCTAAAAAAGAACCAACGTCAAGCACGAGTAGAAAGACGGGCGTTGCATGAAGCACGAGAAGCAGCACTAAGGAGAAGCAAGCCGAAACAGAAGGGTTCCTAATTCAGTAGGATGGGGTTTTTCTAGAGAATAGCAGACTGAGTGCATTTGGACGCCAGTTGAGTTTCTGTTTGCCAGATTTGTTTTGTGTGATGCAGGACTCCCTTTTTGTTTGTTTGGTTGCTTTTGTCGATAGTCACGTTTCGTCCTACTCTACATGTCCAGGCCGCTTGGATTGTTTCTCTGGTTTTGGGTGAGGGCTGGTGAGCACCCAGCGCACATTCTGGGGTACGAATGTGAGGGGAAACGCATTGTGGAAATGTGAGCATTTCGTAACACAATATATATAGATACTTTCTTTTGCAGACGCTTTTGCATTACTCGATGTGATAACGAAATGTGTTTCAATGCATATAATTGAATCTGAGCAATCAAGTGCGAAGAGGGCACAGCTTTCTCGGTGTGATCAGACTCTCCGATTGTCTCCTCAACTCTAGGTGACGTGTCAGCCATGTACCAAAATTTCTCTAAAGAAGAGCTCAAGCAGCTAGTTCGAGCCTTGAACGAGAGCGGTGAATTGGAGCAGCTGCTGCACGAAGCATCCGCTTCCACTTCGACCGACACAGCGCAAGGATCGATGAATGACAGCTCAAAACGCAGATTGACGAGTTCTGTGGTGTCTGCGAAGGAAGAGCTGGATCAGTTTGAGGTGATTGCTTTGACTCAAAGTGTGACTCCGACCCCAAAGAAGATGAGTCAAGCACCGGTGCTTCCACGTCAGGTCGGCTACTCTTCTCATGCTGGAACAGAGATCCGCCTGCCTGAGGGTCTTCAGTCACTGAAGCAGTGGGGCTCCACCATTTGTGAGCTACCAAAGGTAGCCAAACGTGACATGACATACGATATGATGGTCACAGAAGCTGACTCGTGTAAAGAAATGAGGGATTACTTGACATGGGTCACCAACAGCGGAGTCAAATCCTCGAAGATGGATGACATCCGTGCATATTTGAAGGCAGTCCAGTATAGCCCCGGAATTTCCAAGTTCGGAGTGACGTATCCAGGCTCGAAGGAAGCCCGTCGCTTTGGCCATGAAGGCCATTGAAAACTTGGATCATATATAGATTTTGAGGAGTGTGAATTGTGATGAGCACATGGTCGGACGCCATGTCTAGCGGAACCTTTAGGCTGGAGCGTAGAAAGGCGCCGCTGCGATGCCCCTGGTGGGGCGACCGCACCGACATATATATATGTAAATGTGATCACAAGACACTCTGACTGTAAGTACACTATTGACTACTGCCGCACTACTGCAGACATTTCCTTCTGTCATGGCGGGTCGATATCTTGAGCTGTAGCACAAAGACATGTACGCCATGCCGCTCGCAGCATTTGCCCTTGTCAAACTTGGGTAGACTTTTTCCTACCAAATGTCAAACTCCTTTCAGGTGAAAATCCACACAGACGTTGAGAAAAATGCAAGACTCTTGCAGTGTATTGTCTCAGATGGACCTGTTCGTCTAGGTCCCACAAATGCCAGATGCCGGCAACACTGCAACTGGGAAGCAAATCTCATTTGGGGCCCGTGCCCACACTTTGGAGGTCTGTCGGCTTTTCCTGCGGGGCTGGAATGAAGAGGATTCCTGAAGAGGGTATCCCAAAACAAGGACTGAATCCCAAGATGCTGGCAGTGAGTGTGGTCTAAAACACCTCCCTTTCTTTCGTGCGAATGAAACCATACACGCACGAAAGGCAGTGTGACTTGTCTGCCCAAGTAACGAGACGGTTCTCTCTCCGGAGGGGCCATCATGTCCCCGTCGAGCACTGCAAAATCGAAGGAGACTAGCTGCAGCATGTCATTGCTGTGGATGGCCATAACAGGCGCACTGATCGGCAAAAAAGAAAACACCATCGACACCTGTGGAGTCGCGCAAATTCTACATCCAAGTACCCCAAGATTCCGAAGGGTCACTTGTTCACCCAAACATCCCCTCACTCGAACACATTTGGTAAAGGAAACATCTCATGTCTTGGTACAAGTACCTCCTCAGTGATCTCGGTTTTGGAGGATCAACTCTCCAAAATATGACCTGTATGGCCTGCTCCTATCTTTTCCTATCCAAAAGAAGCTCATGTCTTAGGTATATCCCGTTACCAGTAACCAGTGGATGATCATGATCTGACTAGGTTGCAGGCCGACATCTTAAGAAAATAGTGATAAGACTGTGCGGGCCGACCAATGACCCACGGCCATACTGGCTTGCTGGGCTACACCCTGTCGTCACGTCTCAGTTAGATCAGTTACCAAGAGAGGTTGAGAGACCATATAGAGGACCCTGGTCTGTGGTATATATGGGATGGGCGATAAAGGGCTGTGAAAAACCTCTCTTGGTATAGATCCAGACAGCTCCAGCGCGCCAAAGAAGTCCCGTCCGCCCGCGTCCGCCGCGTCGAAACCGGTAGCTCCGGGCCCAAAGAGGCGGCAGCCCACGTCGCGGTGCCACAGCACTGACCGAGTAGCGCGAGTAGAAACCGGAGATGGGCGGAGTGAGGGGCGGAAAAGACTGGGGAACAAGTGGTTCTTGGAGATGGAACAGTCATGAACAGTCCAAATCATCCAGAAAGCCAGTTGTGTTCTTTTGGTAGGGTTTGCAGGAGGGTTAACAGGTATTGATGAACATGTCACCTCTTGTATTGTTGTCAGTTGTCCAACATGGGCAATGGAACATACCAGAACTCAAGCCATCAGCAGGGTCCAAAAACCGACCCAAACACCAACACCGTTCTACATCGAACACAAATCAGTACATATAGGACAGGATCTCCGCTGTTTACCGATCTCAGCCGAGATACTTTCAAGTTAACTACCCAGGTTTGATATGGAAGCCCTCTGGCAGAGGGTCCAGTACCAACAGAAAAGTGATGAAATGTGTATTTGCCTTGGGTCAAGTTCGACCGTTCGAAGGGCAACGGCAGGAGGTATCTGCAAGTTTCTGTGCGATTCAGTTGCAACTTTCTCGGACGTTCATCATGTGTATGGTCCTGCCTCCCTCGTTGCTCGTTCATCTCAGCACCCGCCTCGCAGAATCCTCAGGCTGGAATCCATCCGGAACCTGCACAGCAATCCCCCAATCTACTGGAACTAGCAGCAAGCAAAAATGAGCCACGCACGAACTAAAGCAAAATCTAGGTTTTAAAGAAGGTACCTACAGGATGATGCCAGAAGCTCTAGACCCGACCCGAGAAATGTAAAAACTGCTGAAACACCTCTTCAAAGGAAATAGATCCACGTGGCTTTGGACCCGCAATGATCCTGAGGCCTTAAGGAAGAATGGTTTCTCTCGTCTTGTCATGTCTTGTCCATGTTCTCTGGTCAAATCCAAGAAAACTTCATGATCAGGACAATTCGGAGAATTCTAAAAAAAGAATTGTGTCATCTCCCCAAATGAATGCCCAGACGCTGCAAACCAAATGTTGAGGAAACCCCAAACCTCCCTCTCCCTGCTTCACTCCTCTGGGCGGACCCGGCCACGGAACTACCTTCCCTGATGGCGTGCAGAGGGGCACACTGCGCTCTTCCACAAGGGGCGTCCCCTTCGGCCAGACCTGAGGTGTGCCACTTGGGTTGCAAAACAAACCCAACCTGCACTCCCTGAAATGCACTTGGAGAACTTACATCTTCGCCAAGGAGTCTGTTCCATGCGATCCACTTGAGTTTCCAGTTTGGCTCCCTGCTGTCCCAGCAACGCGGTGAGTGATGAAATGCCCCGCGTGGGCCTGGCCCAAGTGGGACATGACCTCAGCTGCCAATCTTTTGCAAAGACTAAGGTTCTGGCAAATGAACTCAAAGCCAGGACAAGGAATAACTTCGGTTGTTTCGTAGCCCAAACAAGCTTCGGGACTCCTCTGTGTGTGTGCTCAAGGCCATTCAGGCCACCCACGGCTGGCAAATGTCGATGTGCTGCAAACTCGTCACCTTTACCGCTAGCAAAATCCAAGTCACAGAGGACAAGGAGTAGAGACCCCCATCAAGGCCCAGGTCGTCTGCGTGAAGGATCTCGGCATAGCGAACAGGATTGCTCACCTGCGCGAGAAGGAAGTCATGGAAAGCTCCTCCCCAGGATGCAAAATCAGCCAGGATTAGCAACGGTATTCTTGCGCGCCTGATTGTTGCACCGTAATTAAAGAGGAGATGAGGGCATGGAATCGGCGAATACTGCAGCTTGGCAAGTGCAATGGGGGGTTGTGATAAAAGATTCCTCATCACCTGTGCTGGAGAGGTTTTGCACACCTAAGTAGGGGCTGAAAAGCAATTGCTCTTCCAGTGGCATAGTTATATATATATATTGTGTCTATCCTATTACAAGTAAAAATGGATGGTGGTTAGTAAAGGCCTTGTTCAAACATCGTGATAATTGTTTGCCGACCGACTGTTACACGTAATAGGACAGACCCAAGTTATATATACTGTATATTGTATAATACATGATTGGATGTGTAGCAAAGAAAGTGCTGAAGACTCTTCGGGAAAGGTTGACCCCGATTCCTGGGATTAGCATACCTTGGAGTACCGGCTCTGTCCACACCCAAAGAATGCCCTGTCGAGTCAAGAGGTGACCACTTGAAGCGATGAACTCCAAGTTCACTTGTTTTTGCTCTCACTCGGAGTTTTCTTCCACTCATCTCTTGTCAGCCTCCTTAGAATCAAACGTTGCGAAGGCTTCTCTGCCACACCACGAAGAACATGCTGACTAGGGGTCCACAAGCTTCTGGTTGACGGTCAGACTTTGTGCCTTCTCCCCGAAGAAGGGCATTGCTGATTTGAATCCGTCTTGGATCAATCAATATCCAGTCTTCTTTACCAATTGTGTTCTTTTTCACAGGAAGGACTTGTCCACATGACCATAGAATCCTCTGCCGTCTAGACTCGGTTCTTGAAGGAATCTGTCTAGCATGGTATTGCTTCTGCTTTCCTCTTACAGCAAGCGTTTACCATACCACGGATGCCACATGCTGACTGCCTGTGCTCAAGAGCTTCTGAGTGATCACGTCCACTGCGACAGAAACACTGATAACATTTGCAGGGCCATAGACTTGAATAATCTTTCCACATGTTGCTTCCTTGAGCCCAGTTGAGGCAATCCACCTAGAGCCCGCAAACAAAAATATATCAAGTGCATAGGGAGAGTCCAAAGCCAAGTACAGCACGTCAAACTTGTCGAATTGAATATTCTGAAACCTGCAGCACCAGCGACCACGAGACCACAATGGCCTGGTGTGCTTGCACTCAACACGCAAACAATCTCTGTGCCAGTCGCACGGTGAATTGGAAGCTGCTGAACCGACAAACTCCGAGTACGGATGGGAAAGTACATCTACTTCTTCCACCGCTCGCTGGTACAACAAACCACGCGCAGTGGGTGTTAGGTGGCGCAACGGATGCGCCACAAATGCTTTGTGTTGGAGTTTCAACGAGGCCTTTTGAGTGCGATGCTGCAGAACTTCCACGACCAACTCATCGGATGTGTTGAGGTGGGTGACGTACTCACCAAATGTCTGAAGTTTCTTGAGAACGAAACTTTCTGCCTCTTTCCAATCCCGCACCCCTGTTGGACCCGATACATTGAGCTCAAGCCCAGCATGAGCTGTTTTCACCCCGCTGGTTGAGAGCCCGCTCCGACAATCATGTGTGAACAAGTGCAGCCCAGAAGGACTGTAAAGGACCAATACCAGCTTGTCGAGCAGAGATAGTTTGATTCCAAAAAACCGCACTTGCCACCTTCTTGGAGATTCGCACCAGCACATTTGAGCTGACTTGCATTGCACCCTCCTTCCATCAAAACGGAAATCATATTCAGAGTTATGCAGTCCGCGCCTCCACCCATTGCACTGGTCTCCCGGCAATGGATCTTGGATTGTGGCATTCGGATAATGTCCTTTGAATACACGTCGAGCGACCGTTTCAAGCACTAGTCCCCGAAGCGATGGCGTGATCTCAGCCAAGGGGCAACCAGCATATGAGGTTGAAGTGATTGCAACCTTCTCCAAGTCTTTCGCAACTTGCAACGAAGACCAAGGGATGATTCTGACATGACGCAGGCCTAGCTGCCACAAAGCCGCAACAGGTCTGGAACATTGTCTTCTTGTCCACTGCTGCAAGCTCATGGGCCGTCACCGGGGCCGTCATCCAGAAACTGGCAGTTCCGGTCCTGACTACGTGCCTAACCGGAGCCAATGACCACCATCAGCAATTTCTTTGTGTGCACACAACTCACGGCTCTGACAAAGTAGTCCAACATCTGAATCTGGCTGACTGAAAATATATGATGATCCTAAAAGCAAATGAAAAGAAGCATAAAGAAACCCAATTCCCATCGGTGATTTGGTGATGTCGTTTCTGCCGCAGTGCTTCTCGGCCATTGTAGTACAACTAGAAATACTATCTCATGAAACAATTCACACAGCCATCTGGCTACTGTGTCAGTTTTATGCATTCCACCCATGACAGGATGGTTATATAGACTGCATATCCAGGTCAGCTAGGAGGAACATCTTCCGTCAGCTTGGGGTGAAGCGGGCTACCACCCATTCCACAAGAAGTGGAGCATGTGCTGAATCTGTTGGCAATATGGCTGTAGCTCACAACCGGAATCAACCCACGCGCGCAGCGCAGCGTAAATGGACAAAATGGTCCACAGGGAGAATACTCACAACATCATGAAATTGTTATGTAGTTTTCCCTCTCAAAAGTTTTGCAGCCAAATAGAACAAAAGACCAGGATGAACATCAGGATCTTCCCAAATCAAAACTCAACAAATCCTCGTGATTGCATAATGGATTTCCAGATTTGCTTCTTTCTGCCAAGACTTCTTACCCCCCGCCCATCTACCCCCATGGGACTGTTCCGCACAGGTGCTTTCTCCGGCCTTGATGAAGCCGAAAGGGCCAAAGATCAGGCGACGCATGTGGAAGGTCAGGATCCTGAAGAGCGTGGATTAATCTTGGTGGACAATACTGAAGGTTCTGTCCAGCCTTCCTGGGTCTCAAACCACAAGATGTGTTCTACACTCTGCAACCGCAAGATGACAGTTGTATGATGAGTGAAAGAAACTGCAACCTGTTTCGGTGACCCCATCCAACCGTCTTTAAGGGAGAAAACCACACATATCACCCCTTTCAAAGTAAACAGACATGGAGAAACAAGTCACACCAACTGCCTCCAAACTGCCTCTGCGCACCTGTACCGACCAGCCAACAAACCAGCAACACGTCAAAAACAAGTTTCAACCAACCCTCTCACCCAACCCACCACCTCACAGCGCAGGAATCAACTCCAACCCGACCACCCCCCCTCGTCGTTTCTTTCTCCGCACGTCGCCACTCGCGGACGCTCCGGGGCGCCTCGGGGCCACCTTGATCCGAAAGGACCTCAAGTGACTCCTCCGTCGCAGCACCTTGGGGTTTGGCCGCGCGACCGCGCGACCGCAACGCAAATGTGTGTCGCTTTGCCGCGGATGGGTGTGGTGTGGGCGCATGTGATGTGCGACCGAATTTCAGGCATAGAGGAGTCAATGCCACCATGGACCCGACTTGGTTGTACAGGGGGAATCCCCTCTGTCAAATCAACCCACCAAGAGTAAAAGGCAATCTATGGTATGTTCCCGGCCCTGTGGTTTCTTTGGCTCGGGTTTGGAGTGTTGGTGCACTTGGCAAGGTTTCTTCAAGGATCTGGAGGGGGTCCTTTGATACTGGGTTGGATGAGGAACAAGCAAACATTTTTTTGAAGTCACCAAGAGTGATGAAAAAGATGGCAATTCGCTCCTGTTGTGTTGCCAAATACGGTTGAGCTAGATCTTGCTCAAGACTCTTAGCCTGCAAAGGAACAATATGAACAATTGCAAGGGGTTGTTCAATCTAAATCGATGCGGTGCCTAAATTATCGTACATCAACTGTCAAATGTAGAACAAACACCGCCCCCCCGGCCCAGCCTATACACTAATAAAGCATCATGCCGACGCCGCTCAATTCCCGCACGGCTGAAGAACATGTGGGCCAAAGCCCCAAAAGGCAAAACGTGTTTGTACATACATTCTAACCCAAACTACCCTCCAACCTCGTTTTGGCTTATATACATTCATTTGATCTCCATTTCAACCAACTGATCGATGAATGTACCTGAATCTACAGCTTAATGTCTGGGTCATCTCAGTTCTCCTCACCGAGCCACACAGGGCGGCGCGCCCAGCGGCCGCAAGGCCTCCAGCACCTCCGCCCCGCTGGGCGCCAAGCCGTCGGCGAGGCGCATGAAGCGGCGGAAGGCGAGGCCGGCGGAGAAGGAAGCGCCGCAGTCCAAGAGGAAACGGCCTGGGCTGATGAATCAGTTTGATGATTGATAGTACGGCTAATGTAGACTCTTGATGAATAAAATCTCCCAGGCTTGAAGGGGTTGTGCAATCCATCTCTCAGGGACTTCTTACGAGTCAAGAGTCAAACAGCCAAACGCAGTATACATGGAGAGATGAAGACTTCGAGTCGGCACCTGTTTTCGGTTTCTGTGGAATGGAGATTGAGTCGCAAGAGCTAAGAGCAAACTATGTACCGTAAGCTGTCAATACTCTATAGAGGAGGATCCAACAAACTCCACAGTGCAAACAAACCCGGCACCAAATGTGGGCAAAAGAACTGGCCACATACAGGCCATACAGAGTACATCCTCAATATCCTAAAAGGCAAGTAGAAATCCACCACTCAGTTTCATCGAAACCAAGCCCTCTCCGACTTCTTTCCATAGCTTAGACTCCGAACAACACATCAGATGTGTTGCAAAACCTCTTGGACTCAACGATTTCAGTCTTTTCGGTCAATCCCTTATCGAAGTCCACTTTAGATCTTGCACATGTGCGAAGTAAAGACAACTCAAACCCAGGTCCTTCCCCCAAAAAATTCCACACCTGGCTTTCCATATAGCTTCCGAATGGGCACCTCTTGCTCCCGTCCACCCACGTCCACGGACGCTCCGTTGAAGGCCGAGCCACGGATGGAGGCCTCCAGGGAGCAGCGGTAACAGAGCAGCCCATCGATCTCCTGGTGGATCTCCGATCACGGCAGAGTCGACGCGTCGACGGACCCGGAGATCCGAAGAAAACCGACGGCGCTGCGGATGGTGTTCTCATGTTTTCTCCGCAACAAGTGGTCTTACCACTCATTCCATGGTATTGAGGAATGCATTGATCAGTACCATAGGGGGGGTTTTGTGTGTTGTTAGGGGGCTCGCCATGGTGGAGACGTCTCGCAACAAACATAACCAGAAAGTTGTTTGGGCTTGTGGCTCAAGAATCTCAAGAAAACAAAGTTGTTGTGTGGTCTCATTGGACATCAGCTCAAAAACAGCTGAATTCTGTTGGCATGAGTCTGAGACAGTGGTTTCAGAGCAGCTTGCACCAACTCATCGGCCAAGGTTTAATGGGGATTTTGAAGAAACCACCTACTGAAAGTCTGAAATCACTTGAAGGAGATTTCAACCTCTGCCAAGATTCTATTCTATACACTGGGGTGCCAAAAGTTGCGCTTCTTGACTTCTAAAACATCACAAACATTCACAAACCCTTTCCCCTTAGAATCCTACGTGCAACATGTCGACACCTCAGTTGCGGTCAGATTTCCACACCTGAAAGCCTTATAAATATTACAAATTTAAACGGGTGTGGAAATCTGACCGTGCTGTACCTGCCACGCAAAATGGACGTGTTGATCCGATCCGCTGTAGACCGCAAGTGTCATGTTGGAACAGAGTAAGAAGCGTAAACTTTAGGGTTCTTGAAGTATGTTTGTTTAGGTAAGGTCTGTGCCGAGATTCTATGCTAAGTAAGGTCTCAGAGAGCTTGGTATCAGAATACCCGCCAAAAAAAAAGTTTCAGATTCGCTCTTCGGCCTCCAGAAGGCTCTTCTAAACCCGACAAATCGACGCGCATCGACGTTGACGGTCGTCGCGCGGCCTCGGTGGGTTGTCCGCTGTAAGAAGCCTTCAGCAAACTCAGCAGGTTCCTTGGCACCGGCGCGGCTGGGTGGTTTGGGGGACCGTGTTCTTATTTTGGTCTTTTCTCAACAGAAAATGAAGCAGAATAGACGTGCGCGTTGGAGCGTTTTGCCCACAGCCAACTGAGGAACCCCCCCCTACGAGGATCCGAAGATTTCAGTAAATTCAACTCACTTGAAAAATATGAGTCAGTGGGTTGAGTGTAAATCAAGAAGTATTTGAAACCACCCAGTCTTCTGAAGCAGACTTACCAAAATGGCGGAGTGACTGCCTCTCTCACGCTTTATACGCTTTCCTCTTCACATCTGAAGATCATGCTAGGTAAAAGGCTATAGCTATAGCCATCGGATTCAGCAACCAAGCACAAGACCCTAACCAAATGGATACAGATGGATTCTGGGGTCAGCAAGATCACCAGCCAGCATGGAAAGGATGTGGGCCCATGCTTTTGATGGACCAAAAACGCAATACTTCAAACGCACGTGATTCCCTGTTGCTGCTGGTATCTGAATCAGCACCATGCAAGTAAGAAGTTCGAAATATATTACAGTACACATTGAGAACTTCTTACTTGCATGGCGCTGGATTTGGTCCAGCACGACTAGGTCTGTGGTGGTGCCTAGTTCCCAACATCGACACATTCTACCATGCAACCCACCATCCCCGGACCCGTGGGCCCACCTGGACCCACCTGGACCCGCCTGGACCCACCTTCGCCGTCCGCCGGACTCGATCCAAGCGTCACGCTGGAAAAGTGGGGACGATCGATGTTGATCAAATCGAGCGATAGACCTCGGTGGAGCGGGTGAGGCGTGGTCCGCTGCTCGGTGGACCGCACGCACAAAAGCGAAGAAGCAGTTCATGACTGTGTAAAGATGGCTTGGGCAAAATAATGATGATCTAGAAGTGGCCGGGACACAACCAATGGATACCCTCTGAGAAGGTGATTGGAGATCCTGTTATGTAGACTTGGAGGGTCCAAGTACCTTCTGAGAAGGTATGTGGATCCCTAGGTATAGTTCGTACGTCCACTTCCATGATTTCATGGCAATAGCACCAATCGTTTGTGAAATCACTTGCGACGACACTACTTTGGATGCCCTCATGGTCTACAAATGGTTTGGAAACCCTTTCATTCAGCAACAAAAAGATGACCCCATTCGAAAGAGCCCGAAAAGTGGCAAAACTTGTACTTCCGAGTAAAGGACCAGGATCTTCTGCATCTCTGGCAAGCCATCCCCATTGACTGAAGGCTTCAAACTTTGGTGATTCTGGGACACGCAACGCGTACGCGACGGCCACAACTCCCTCTGCTTCCCCGCATCTGAAGGCCTGTTTGGAGGGGCAACTTTCAACCTTGGCAGGACGGCGGAGGTGAACATGAATGAACAAAAAGCTCTGTGGAAGAAAACCAAGTATGGTTTAAGGTTGTTGTTCAAACTTTAAAGCTTAAATAGCTTAAAGCTTACTAGGATGATTGTTGATTCTCGCTTTCGTTCTGCATCTGGCGATGGCTCAACGCCAGTATCAAGCGTTTTTTTCTACAGCAAGCTGGGGCAGTTCCACCATTTGTCAGCTAAAGACTAGAGGCATCTTGAGCCACGATTGAATGTTGCTAATTATGCTAATTGTTGCTGTCGTTGTCATGGTCGGGGCTATTTCCACACAGACTATACTACCAACACCAAATGGTCAGTGTGCTTGGATTTCGAGAACATTTGGACCAAAAGCCAAGCTATTGGAAGGATCCACAAGGCCTTGGTGGACCTTTTCCCCAATCAGGATGTTCGTCCCGGGCTCATACCTACAAGCACATGCAAGAAGTTGCTTGTTCATAACCCTTCCCCCAGCCCCCCAGCATCTTCACCCACGCATCCCTGTACTCAGAGTTCAGAATCACCTTATTCGAAGTTCCAGTTCCCAGCCACAAGACATCCCTCCACCCCATACAGACCACGTGTATGCTCTTGTGTTTGGTTTCATTTTTGAAGGGAAGAAACCTCCGTCTCGACGGCGAAAGAACAACCCCAGACCATCCATGGGATTGGAATAGTCACATACATTTGCCCCATTTATGACCTTAATGTATAACCATCCTGGAGTACATAGAATATGGAATGTAAAAAAACACGTATTCTATGTACTCCAGGATGGTTATAAGTAACATTAAGTAACTATTCCAGTCCCAGGGATGTTCTGGGAACGAAAAACGTATCGTGCAAAACCATCTCATGCGAGAGACCCGTGCGAGGCCACAAGCGGTGCAAACGCGCGTCTCTTCCAAGACCCCTTCGAAGAGATCCTCGCGTCTCGCCACGAGGATCGATGGGTGTCCACCCAGAGAGTTTAAGTGACCTGAAAAAAAAGGGACCCTAGTGGGGTACCTATGAGATAGTCGAACTAGGGCCTGTCGGGTCCCCTCTGGAAACCAGGTAGAGCGACGGTCAATTGTTGCATTTGGCATACGGATTTTCTAGGTTTTTCTCGGAAATCCGTCCGAATTCTGGTCCGAAAGCTTTGGGCTGAATCCGACTGAATCCGCCCTGTGCGAGTACTGAGTACTGGTTACTGTTCACCCTTTCAGAAGAAGCACCAGGACTCAGGTCACATGCCTCAAGTGGTCTAGATCCCCTTCTAGCATCTTCTAGCCATGTCTGCCCTTCATCAGGGAATGTACTTACCGCCTAACTTACACGCCGTACCCTCGAAGTTCAAAGACTATCCATTGCCCCATTAAACTAAAGTAACTAAAGGTAAGGTTCCTATTGAAATCGCCGTTGTTTATGCCATCTTTGGACGACGTAGTTTTGGACTCCCAGCACTTACACACGGTCACCACCGCCAACGGCCCACCGCGCCAGCACCGCTGCGCTGCGCGTGGCGTCCCTCCGCACCGTGCGTCCTCGAAGCATTGGATCGCTTGCGTCGCTTCACCTCGGTGAACCGGACGGGGAACGGTCGAAAGGGCCGTGCCAAGCCACCAGGGACTTGGAATAGGGTGAAAGCTATAGAAGGAGGTGTTGGGTCTCATTTCCACCAGGGACTTGGAATAGGGTGAAAGCTATAGAAGGAGGTGTTGGGTCTCATTTCCACCAGGGACTTGGAATAGGGTGAAAGCTATAGAAGGAGGTGTTGGGTCTCATTTTTGGAGGCAAGCCAATGGTTTTCATACGACTTGGCTTTCAGTGAACTTTTGGCGAGGACGTCCTGTTTTGCATCCCCAGTCTCGACATTGATTCACCTCTATACAAATAATACCAATGCCTGGACCCTATACCACCGGTGTGCGTGAAGGATCCTATACCACCGGTTTAGGGTGAAGAAGCCTATACCACGTTGGAGACCCCTCCTGACCTCATGACCCTCCGAAGCGCTCCCCAAACAGACCGTCGCAACCGATATACTCTGCCCAGTGGCACCAACTCAGCAGCCCTTCGCGTCCCAAGAGGCATGGCCTGGCCACGCTGAACGCCTGGAGCTGCTGGAAGCTTCTGAGCTGCCGTCGACCTGAGCAGAAACGGCTGCACTCTCGCTTTTAGAGTTCGAAAGAAGCACCGTCAAAAGCTGGGTTGGACTGATCCCCACCGCTGGTCGGCCAGACCTGACGGATGTTGGGGACAGAGGCTTTGAAAGGCGAAGGCGAAGGTATCCAATGGCTCCAAGATTCAGCCTACAAGTATGGTCCATGTTGGATGGTGGTCCGTCAGGGTCTTTGGGGACTTTGGAGACCTGTGATGTTCAGTTCACGAGAAATCAATAACTCGAGCGGATAAGTTCCATCTCCCATTCCAAACGATCAATATATGGGAGTACACTCTGGCTTTGTAAACCAAATGAGCCATTGTCTTCCACGTTTGTGAGCCGGAGTGCACTATATAGTTCTAGTTAGTTGAAAGCCTCCTGGCAGATCATCTTCCTCTATGAAAATATGTCACACATATTCTTTTCTTGGCAGCCATTGCTGGTACAGAATCCCCTTTGGATCTTTGTTCTAACCTTGCTCTATTGCTTTGTTTCTTTGCCTATTGGATGTTCAATTCTTTTGGAACCTCTCGCATTTGGGTGGATCACTACCTAACCCTCAACTCTCAAAACGGTGGGATCCCTACTTCATCCCCCCGGGGCTGTTTGGGAATGCGTTCATGTTTCTTCCAAGCCATCTTATCTTGCTGACTCCCTGAAAACGTGGAGAACGCGTGGCCCCGATTTTGCAGACCGAACAACTGGTTGTCCACTTCCATGAGACATATGATTACATCATTTGAGGGAGTGTCACATCTTCGTCAAAACGACCTCCTGGCCCATCAGACTCGCCACAAAGCGAGGAATGGATCGACTCCAATAACTTGATGAAGGCTTCATGTGCATCCTTGGAACGAGCCATGCCACAGTGGGAGGATGCTGGATCGGAGGCCTACCGTAGGCGGTTCAGCGGCTGCTTGGGACTCCCTATTTCAACACAAATGATGATTGGATTGGATAAACATCGATAAACCTATTGGTCGCAAAGAACCTGCCCAGTTCTTCCAATGAATGTGGAGTTCCTTGGGCCAGACCAGATCAGCTAGTTGTGGGCCCGGATTCCTTCACCGAGAAATGGGTGACAAAGCTGGCAGCGAAGTCGGGTTCCCAGCGAAGCCCGCGAAAGAGGAAATAACATGTTCCCAAAGCTGTTTGCTGTGAGACAATCTCCCAGTTTCCTTTGTTTCTGCAGCTCCCCATTTCGAGAGGATGGCAGAATACTGTGAACACAGCGCTCATCTGGGGGCAAAGGAAGTCGGGGTGCTTGTCCCAAACGAAGTTGGGGAAAGACAACGAGTGGAAAAGCACGACCTTCATACAAATGAACTATGTCTCGATCGTTGCTCTTTGTCACACAACCAAGGGACCAAGGGCCACCACACACTCTGAACCAAAACAAGGCTGCAGGTCTTTAGCGGGATATTTTTTTTGTGGGATATGTTTTTTTT